AATCACGAATTCAATAATTTTTGTATTGAACATGGCATTTTGAGGCATAGAGCTGCTACCTACACTCCTCAACAAAATGAAAAAGCTGAAAGAATGAATAGGACTCTATTAAATAAAGTTAGATGTATGCTTTTGAGTTCTGGTTTGCCTAAACTTATTTGGGATGAAGTTGTTAAAACAGCTACATATCTTGTTAATAGAAGTCTTACCAAAGCTTTAAATTTTGAAGTACTTAAATCTGTTTGGTCTGATGGTTATGTGAATTATTCTCATTTAAAAGTGTTTGGTTGTATTGCATATGCTCATCAAAACATTGAAAAATTAGAACCTAAATCACTTAAATGTGTTTTTTTGGGTTATGATGAATATGTCAAAGACTGCATATTATGGGTTAAATGTGAAAAGGGGTATAGAGTTATTGTTAGAAAAGACGTTATTTTCAATGAATTTTAAATGCCATATTTAGAAGGAAAATAAAATGTATTGACTGATAAAGATGTTCAAATAGAGGTAGAGCTTTCTCAAATAGTGCAAGATACTCCTGTATCTGGTGTAGAAGAAACTGGTCTTGAACATGAAATTTTAAATGATCAAGAAGTTGATCAATCTGACCAATCTTATCTTACTACTCTCCATTCTGATGAGTATCAACTAGGGCTGTCCGTGGGTCGATTCGGTTCTGAAGAGAACCGAACCGACCCAAAACTTTCGGGTATTTAATAAATGAAACCGTCAGGTCCAAATATAATTATGGAACCGTTCGGGTTCGGTTCGATTCCGTACCATAATTAAATTTTTTAACAGATTTCTAATGGTCAACGATCGGTGGTTGTGGTTGGAGGTCGCGGCTTCGATGGGCAGTTGTTATTATAGCAACATTACATAAAGTAAATTCATTTGCTTCAAGCAGTCTGTCTGCATAAAGAAAATGAAATATAAATTAAAAGTTATAAAAATAAAATAATTTAATTAATTCAATATAAAAAATAAAAAAATTATTTAGTTTCGGTTCTTATTCGATTCTTCGGTTCTTGGTCTAGACCCGAGACCCGGCCCGGCCCGGCCCGACCCGACCCGACCCAAACCCATCAGTTCTCGATTCAGGTACCCGTTCATGTATTTAATTTATGAAGAACCACTTGGTTCGGTTTAGTTCGATCCGATTCGGTTCGGGACTTTTGGACACCCCTAGATTATCAACTCACAAGAGATAGAGAGATGAGACCGATTAGATCTTTTACTAGATTTGATAGTGATGATTTTGTGTCCTTTTTCAAGAACAATTTGAAAGTGAGCCAAAACTCTATAATGATGCAATTAAGTGTATAGAAAGTAAAAATTGGAAAGCAGTCAGGAAGATGAAATGTCTTCACTTCTTAAATACAAAACTTGGGGAACTTGTTAAAAGACTTAAATGGCAGAAACTGATTGACTGTAAGTGGATCTGTAAAGTAAAACAAGGGAAATGAGCTGGTAAAAATATTAGATATAAAGCTAGACTTTTGCAAAAAGTTTTACTAAAAAAAGAAGGCGTTGATTACACTGAAATCTTTTCTCTTGTTGTGAAATATACTACCGTTAGATGCTTGCTTGCTTTTGTTGCTCAATTTAAATGAGAACTTGATCAATTAGATGTTCAAACCATTACCGCCCTCCTTCCAAAAAACAAAAAAAAAGATGTTCAAACCGCTTTCTTGTATGGTGATCGAGATGAAATAATTTACATGAGGCAGCCTGTTGGTTTTGAAATAGGAGATCCCGATGAAACTGTTTGTTTGTTTGTTAAAGAGATCCTTATATGATTTAAAACAAACTCCTAGACAATGGTATAAAAGATTTGATACATTTTTTCTAAAACTTGGTTTTAGAAGAAGTCAATATGACTCATGTCTATACTGTAAGGTAATGGAGGTAAAATTTCTTTGTATCTAGTTCTTTATGTGGATGATATGCTGCATGCCAATTGTGATGAGTTTGAATTGATATGATTAAATTGATATTGAAATTTGAGTTTGAAATGAAAGACCATGTTTCTGCTAAAAGGATTTTAGGCATGCAGATTTGAAGAAGTAAAGAAAAAGACTTGTTATTTTTTTGAACCAACATGATTATGTGATTAAAGTTTCAAAAAAATTTAACATGTAAGACTGTAAACCTGTAACATTACCTCTTACTAATCATTTTAAGCTGCCTTCTGAATATTGTCCAAAATTTGAAGAAGAATATGCTAGAATGTCTAAAGTTCCTTATGCAAATGCTGTTGGTTCTGTTCTGTATTTGATGATTTGTACCAGATCTGATCTTGTATATAATATTAGCATGTTAAGCAGATTTATTAGTAACCTTGGGGAAGAACATTAAAATGCTTTAAAATGGTTATTAAGATACTGTAAAGGTACACTTAACTTAGGTTTAATGTTTAAATCAAGTAAAGATGACGTAACTTTAAAAGGATATACTGATTCTGATTATACTGGAGATAAAGATAATAGGAGATTAACTTCATCCTATTTTTATACCTTATGTGGTACAGTTGTAAGCTGGAAATCACAACTTCAAAAAGTTGTTGCTCTATCATCTACAGAAGTAGGATATATTGCTGCTACTGATGCTGTTAAAGAGGGAATGTGGTTAAATGGTTTATTGTCTGAACTTGGTTTTCTTGATAATCATGCTATACTGTTATCTGATAATCAAAGTACCATTCATTTAAGCAAAAATCCTATATTTCATGATAGAACAAAATATATTGATATTAAATATCATTTTATAAGGGATGTTATTTCAAGAAGAATTCGTAGAATTGGTAAAGTTGCAACTTAACTTGACCCATCTGATATGGGTACAAAAGTGATTCCTTTGAACAAATTTGTAAATTGTTTGAAACTTTTATCTGTTAATTCTTTGTAATACATGAACATGTACTTTGAGAAAATGAAAAGTTATTGTGATTGTGCTCTGGCTTACACTATATTCCCAAATTTTGGTAGCAAGGTGGAGAATGTGAAAACTCGAACCCTGGTTCGATTGGTACTTCCATAATTTGTGTTAAAATTGCGTTTTTTGATATTGCAACTTTATTAAAATGCACTTTTAATCGGATTGAGACACATATTTACAACTTGGCCGTTGGATTTGTTTCTGGATACTTCTATTGGGGCGAAGGATCACTTTACACTTGGTTTTTGGTTCTGAAAGGTTTTCATTCATTTATTCTCTCTGTTGGTTTTGAAGAAGTTCTCTCGTCTTCTAGGGTTTTCTTCTCTCAAATCTTTTACTTGAAATTCTCAATCTGTAATCTTTAACTCTGTTTAGTGATATTCTGATGGAAATCTGTAAGAGAGTTTTGAGTTCTCTTGAGTTACTATTTCTGTAGGTTTGTGAAAATTCTTTTTGATTCTTTGTGGATCGATCGTTGTATATTTGAGAGATAAGTGTTATTGTATTGTTTCAACGTATTGGCTGAACTTTTGTAATCTTTGTTGCTGTTTTGGCTATATAGTAGAACTGAGCATAAATCAAATTTATTGGATGCTCAACGGAGGATGTAGGCATTAAAAGCGGTAGCCAAACCTCTGGGGCTTAGGCCGAAATATATCGTTTGTGTTATCTTTAACTTCAGCACATTATTTTTTGAGAGATCATTTTATCGTTGTTTCTCAACGTTAATGTCGTGTGTTCTTGGCCTTACACTAATGATTTGATAGGTTATGTGTTTTGAAAAGATGGGAGCCGAGGTGTCGTTTTGTTCTAAGACATTCATTACCTTAAGCAATTAATGGAAATGATACTTTGTGTCTTTATGTCTTCAGAGGCCACGTGTCTTTACGCATGCTTGAAATGCATGGCTTTATCTCAACTCTCCATTTAGTTTTAATTTGGGCCCTTTGGGTTCAACGGTTTGGTTGGATATTCCAGATCGTTCTTGATTTGATACGATGGTTGGGGAGATGAGGCCGCCCTGCCTATAAAAGGGGCCTTTGCTCATCTTTCGGAATTTTTTACTTTGCATTTTAATCTTCAAATACAGAAAAAGCATGAGAGAAATTTGGCGTTTGTTTTAAATTTTTGACAAGGTTTTGTGAATACCCGTCAAGTTTAGAGAAACAAAAACATCTTTAGGTAACACTTTCTTTGAATTTGTGCAATTTCTACATATATTTTCCCTTTTCCTATCTCAAAAAACACGTACTTTCACAAATGACTGCAAACTCTTTGTGTACCTATAAAGATTGTCATGTTCAACAAGAAAGAGTGCATCTATGTCTTTAGATTCTTCAATTGAGCATGCAACATAGTCAAACTTCGAAGCCATGGAACACAATCTCTTCTCAATAATCGTAACATCTTCCATCTTCTCAATGTGGAATTGCATTTGGTAGTCTATCTCCATTGTTCTTGCACAATAGTTGATAACATATTCACCGTCATTCATTTCTAGATTCTCAAAATCCCTTCTCAAAGTTTTCACTCTCGAAGAGACTTGAAATTTTTTCTTCACCAAATCCAAAATATTCTTCAAAGTTTATTTGCTGACACCACTTTTTTTTCAGGATAGATCGATCAATGGACTGGAACAAGTAGTTCTTTGCCTCTATGTTGCTTGGACTCGGGTACGGATATTGGGTATGAGTACGTATTTAAGTGTCGAATTTTTTATTTTGTAAAATGGAGGATACGGGAACATGGCTAAAAATAGTTCAAATTTCAGACATGGGTACGTGGGTACGTCTTTGAAACTCCAATTATTATTTTTTTTTCCAAAAACTTCATATGTAAAAAGAAATTTTAAATAATAATTAAGTTGTAAATTGTTAAAAGATAAACATGTCACTTAAAAATCAACTAGAAATTTATAATAACAGTCTAAAACACCTAAAAAAAAATAAATTGACATGACAAATCACAAAATTAAAATAAAAGTTAAAAATAACATAATTAATTCCAATAGCAGCAATTGATCCTAAAAATCCATTTAATCAACCAATTCTCCTCCAACTCTACTCATTATCATCAAGAACAAATGCCTCTAGTTGTGGCTCATCAAGGGAAAGTTCTGCCAGTTGAATGGTTGTTTGTTCATCCAAATTAGTGTTATCTCCGCCTACAAAACGAGAAATGCATAAACAATTAATCCAAAATATTTCTTTAATGAAGAATGAAGATGTTAAGCTTATGGAAAACTTACATAGATCCCAATATTTTGTCGATCCTTCTTTGTACGCCTATTCATTTCGTGACATCAGATGGAGATTACAATGGACAAAGACAAGGTCTTCAGCCCTACTTCTTGTCAATTTGTTTCGATTGATGCTTTGAATGAATGAATATGTACTCCAATTTCTCTCGCAATAAGATGAAGATGCCGGTTGTGAAAGCAATTTAAGGGCCAAAGATTGCAACAAAGGTATAGAGGCACCATGATTAGCCCACCAAGAAATTGGTTCTTCAAACATTCTTGCATCAATTACATGTGGCTAATTGAAATAATTTGATCCATTACAAAACGCTCCATATTCAGCAGATACTTTCTTCAAATCATTTGCATTTGGAAACAACCTCTTGAAGCATTTTCTTCTATTCATGGAAACTTCTTGATCTCATGTGGTGCAATTCTTGGCATTCCATTAGTTCCATCTTTCAACCAAGCTTCACAATAATATTTAGGAACTAAAGAATGTGATATACAATGTAAGGGAGTGTTGCTCTTGTTCCATCTACTCCCCAAAATTTGGTGAATAATCTCAAAAAATGTTGAATTACCACCAACCATATCTTTCCCTTCATGCTGAAATATGATTTTTTTTCACATTGTTGCTCTTGTTCCATCTACTCTCCAAAATTTGGTGAATAATATCAGAAAAGGTTGAATTACCACCAACCATATCTATCCTTTCACGTTGAAATATGATTTTTTTTTTCCACATTTTCAATCACCGTGTCCCACATATCATATATTGAATGCAAAATAGGAGAATCTGTATCATAAACTTGTAACATATTAAGTATAGGCTCTATAAAAGACAGAAAATAATCCAAATCATCCCACCAAGTATCAGTCACATGCATTTTTCCACTTCTTGTACTTAACTATCAACGTTTGCATCCCTATAAACTTTCCAATCTGAATTCATCACCATTTTTTTTAGTGCCAGCCTAACTTCTATTAAGAGTTTAGTCATTACAATACTCGATGCAATTCTTGTGTCAGCCATCCTCAACAAACTCAACTTAGAGTATTTATTGTATATTGCTAGTGCCATACCATGATTGATAATAAAATTACGAATAATTTGTACATCACTCACCAAATCAGCAATCCACTTGCAACTTGCATATTGAGGTGATTTTTTAGAAGGATCACAAATACTTTTTAAAGCCAAATTCAAACTATGTACCACACAAGGAGTCCAAAAGATATGAGGATACCTAGATTCGATGCTTATCCCATCAGCTTTGCAATTGCATGCATTGTCTGTGATGATTTGAGCAACATTTTCTTCTCCAATTTGTTGATTGCATTTAGAAACAATGTCGCAACATAATCGCCATCTTTTATATTTCCAGTTGCATCAATTGACTGAATAAACATTGCTCCTCTAGCAGATGCAACCATAATATTTATAAGAGGTCTCTTTTGCTTATCTGACTATCCATCAGAAACGACCGATACCCCTCTTTTCCTCCATGAGTCTCTTATGTGTTGAAGTTTTCTATTAATATGCTCCTTTTCTTGGGCAAGCAATGTAGTACACAATATATTATATGAAGGAGAAGTGTAACCTGCAACGTTGCTATTGGCCAATGTTCTTGAGTATTGTCTAAAGTAGGGGGATTTTGCAAAGTTGAATGGTAAAGCACTTGTATAAAACATACAGGCAGCCTCTTTATCAGATACATCACTCTGTGCCATGTTAAATAATTTTTCTAAAGGTCCATCTCCTTCCTTTTTTCGTTTCTTTTGTAACAAATCCGAACCGTCGGGAAGTGAAATAAATTCCGCCTTTTTTGTTTCACTGTACTCATGCTGTGATTTTTTCCATTCAGCTTGCTCGTGTTCATTCGTGATCTCTCGTAATATGTCGTCAGTTACAACCTTATAAAGTTGAATCTCGTGATTGGAAAGTCTTAGCAAATGAGCCTTTACTTTAGTATAGGATCCGGTCACTTTCTTGCTACAGTAGTTGTAACTCAAAGTGCGATTTCCTCATCCATCTACTATCGTACCCAGAAAACATGATTCCATAGTGGCTTATCATCAAAATTTTGTCCACGAATAGATGGTCTTACAAGTATTTTTTATGTTTGTAGATTCTCTTGTGAAGTGATGGATGTGTTCATGACTAGAATGCTAAAATGGGTTAATGGAAAAAAAAAAACAATGAAGGAATCGTTGATTGCTGGCTTGAGAAGGAAATGGAACCGTTCTGGCTTGACGAAGGAAATGGAATCGTTGATTACTAGCTTGAAGAAGGAAATTGACTTAGATTGTTTCTTCTTCCAATGAAATGGTGGTCCAATGAAATGTTAGAATGTTTATTCTTCCATTAACATCAATTAAATTAAATGCGATGGACATATTTGGTCCAATGACACGATGGTTAAGTTGCAATTTTTAAAATTAAAATTTTATATTAAAATTAGTAGTTATATTGAACGATTTTCTTTGATTTGAATGGATGAAGAAAATGATTTTTATTTTGTAAAGAGGATGGTAGAATTAGGAAGATTTCAATTTCTATTTGTAGAGCATCTATTTGGGGATAATTTATGTCAATTAAGGTACAATAATCTATTTCTATTTTCTTGGTCTCCATTTACTAAGAAAAAACGAGTGATATTTATGGGAGAGAAGATTTCAACGATAGATCACTAAAATGGGAAATATCCGTTTTTTTTACACAAGTTAGATGAACGAAATATATATTACATTAATTATAATGTAGTAGTAAAAATTCACGCCTTAAGACAATTTTCTCATTTCTTTAATAATGTGACATGCACATAATGTGATATAGTGTAATCGAACCTCAAAATCGTATAAGATCGACTATTATTGTAGATGCATGACAAATTAATGGAGTTCTAGTAGATGATGAATCAATCACTGACTAGTGTTTTCGNTTTTTTTTTTTTAGCTTTTCGTATAAATATTTTTAAAAACAAAGAAATTAAAATTAATCAAAAATATTATTTGATTACTTCTATTTTGTCAAATGTTGAAAAAATATTAATTTCAGAAAATGCTATAAAAGTGTTCTAAAAAATTTATTTATGTTGATCTAATAATTATGTGTCAATCATTTTGGACAAAGAAAAATCATATTTTAAATTTTTTTAAAATTTTGTAACAACATTAATCATGATATTTTTTTAAAACTAAAATGATCTTATCTAGATTAAAAGAACCAAAAACATATTTAAGAAATAATAAACATTATATAATTTGCTCAACTAATAAGGTTGTAAAATTCGAAGAAAAACATAAAATAAACCCAACAATTAAGGTTGTAAGATTGTAAATATACTTCAACCACAATGAATACATTTTTTTAAAACAAAAAAAAGCAATGTTTAAAAAAAAATGCATTGTTTTAAAGCCCAAAAAGCCCAAGAGTTAATAACAAAAAAAGTACAACACCCCTCTGTCTTCTTCTTCCCTGGCGTTTCTAGCTTTGCAAGACTGCAACAATGGCGGCAACAGTTCAACAGGTTTCGCCCTTGGCCGTGTCCGGTTGAAATTTGCCGCGTCTGACCCGTATTTCATACCCGTACCCGTGTCGTGTCGACACGGGTATGGCGGCCACAATGAAGGGTCTGAGCATCACAGCTTTGCCTTCAAGTCTTTCAACTTCAAACCCTCCAGCTATATTTTTTGTGCTTCTGTAGGTGCCACTTCAACAAAGGTGTTGCTACACCATATTTAGAAACATGTGAGTACTACTTAGATCTCAAAAAGTTCTTTCCAATGATCATAATGGACATCAAAATAGGGAATGGCAGGCTGCACAAAATTTTGAGTTACCATCTATAATTGTTGTTGCAATACAAAGTCCTTTGAATCAATTGAAAAATTGGTTGCAAATCAGATGCAGGACCTGTTCATAGAAGAATATATATATATATATCCGACACGAAGGGAAAAATGTAAATGGGTCTTTTATTGCTAATACAATGATGAGTAAACCAACGTAAAATAGATTGATTTTTTGCACTACAAATTCTTGGAAAGGGCAGCAGACTTTAGTTAAAAAAAAGGCTCTGATACCACTGTCAATTCTGAATAAAAATAATATGCTGCTGTACAAGAGGAAAATGGAGAATAAGTGTTGGAAAACACTTACTTGATATAAATTGATTTTTAAATGTCAAGGAAAAATTGCCAAAAACATGAAAATAGGATACAGGTCCAAGTAGGTAGTTAATCCTAACTGATGGTGAGCTATTTCAATAGAATATTGTGGCTGTGAATTCTAGGGTTTTAACACTCTAAATAGGACACAATTTTTTGTTTTCATATTACAGCTAATATAGATTTATTCAACTATCAATCATCATAGATATTATTTGATAGGTTAATTAATAAAATTTAAAGAAAGATTAGTCTACTATTAAACTTTCCTTAAGTTCATTTATTACCATTGTAAGATAATGAGATTAATATGGAGAAGAAGAAGACTGATATATTGCGGATTGAATTAGTAATTCACTTCTTGAAATAAACACCAATACAAGAGGCAAAATATATAGAATGAACAAAGGGGTAAAAGAGTAAAGAGTCCTCCTAACAAACTATCCAACAAAAGGAATATTATTCTCCCTAACCATGTGCAATACAAGCGCTGCCAGGACACCTGACTTGATAAGTGTGCTGCCTTATGTTCTAGC